CCGCCCGCTGTGTTCTGCCCGCCCGGTTCGCTGCTGCTCTGGGTTTTGTCTGTCTTGTCTTCAGAAAATTCCTTCCCAGTGCAGGGAACGCGCTGTTACTGGAGGCGTGTCCCGTAGGGGCAGCGTAGCGAAGGGTGCCTGCGGGGGCACCGTTCCGTACTCGGGCAGATGAGGGGCCGGCAGGAGGGGCCGGCAGGTGTCCGGGAGAGGGGAAAATTCGCTGCGCCTGTTGGAATTGCAACAGGGAAGCCAAGTGCTGATGTTTACTAACAGCTGTTAGTAAACATCAGCACAGAATCGTACGAGATTTGTCGGGTAGTGCATTGGAAGGAGTCCAGGATGCTTGTTTAGCAAAGGTATCACAGAATGGCCCGGGGAGCTGACTGCTTGTTACAGCCTGAGCGCTGTAAATGTGTGTTAGGCTGTGTCGGTGTACATCAGCCGAGGATTTAGTTCAGGGTCCAAAAGTCCACTTTCGTTTTGGAAAATAACAAAAAGCCTGTTTTCTTGAGGCAGGTCTGTGATTCATTGATGATACTTTCCAAGGCATTATAAACCAAGAGATAGATAGTTGCTGTAGTCCTTCAAATTATGTGTGCTTTTCCCTGGGAGTACTTTTCAAAGGCAGAAAAAGTGAGGCTTGAGCTGCTGTCATGCTCTTCGCAGCTGATGTTGAACTTGCTGTGCTTCATAAGCTCTAGTCTGTCTCGTTTTGCTTGATTACTTTTAATTTATGTGGTAGCTGCCATTTCCTGTAGATCTAATTCCTTTAAAACCAAACCTTAAAAAGAGCACCACTTCACATACCTCTGATTCTACTGATGTATTGGCCTAGTACTGTGTAAAATTGTTTTCAGACACATCTGCTGTTCTCACGTGTCTGGGTTCTTCTTTTCTCCTGTTTGGCCAGTAACTCACTCCACTGTTTCATCTGTGGAATAAACTTGTTGCAGGACACTGGACTCCATTAGGATTCCTCTGTGCCAGGAAGGTCTTGTTTCCCTTGACCATATTCTTATTTGTATGACCTGTGGGAATCTTTTCATCTCTGCTGTTACATATTTTAGTAAATCTCCTCATTTACATTAAAAACAAACAGAACTGAAAGTAAGGAAAAAAGAGCGAGTGCAGACTTAAAACTAGTAATCAATGGGAAACATTCTGAAAGGAGGAAAACTGTGTGTGAAATAAAGCATGATTTCCAAACGAGGTAGCGGCGTTTTAGTAAGTCTAAACCTGCTTGTGTTGAAAGGAGAATGCCTGCCTGTACTTGTATTAAATGATTACAGTAGCTTGAGTTCTGCCTGTATCACCTAGGGCATTTAATTTCTTGGTGTAACTGTCCAGTTCTGTTTCAAGTTCCAGTAAGCAAACATACAATTAAAAGGTCTGCACCAAATGTGCATATTGCAAACCGGTCAGCTACATGTGCAAGAACTCGCAGTAGTACCTGGCAGGATTTGACTGCAGAGCTGATAGTAAACATCATTACAGTCAGGGACATCCCTGGAAGCCTGAAAAACTTTTCTGGGTAACTCATTTTAGACAATTCTAAAACACTGTTGAGATCTCTTATCACAAAGTACCACCTTTGGTTAGCAGAATTAGATTCCTTTTACTCTTGTGTTTGGAAGAAACTATAGCCAAACAGTTGTTTCCGTTCAAAGAGATTCGAAAGTCTAAGTCTAGGTAGTCAGATGAGACACCAGTGTAAAACTTCACACCCCCCCAGTCACCTGCTGTCTGTCTCTGCACACATCTGCATTCTTTAGCTGATAGCAGTTTCTCATGTGAACATCCCATGAACCTCAGATTTAACTACCAAATAACCTAATTTCTAAGTCGAGCAATGACACTGGCTGTTTTTTCATCTGCTTCCTGTTCTGCCAGGCAAATTACATGCAAAAATACTTCAGACTTGCATCTCTTTGCTATTGTGTAGTCTTTTCCTGATAGATATTTGATTTTTAGAGGTATAGCACTTATGGGCCTGTGAGAATATTCACATAACACTGAATTTACTGTCAAAATAACAAAAGCAGCATGTATATTTCAACAATCTTTTTTTTTTCCCCTGGGACTAGACAGTTCAGTTTGTACTTAAATCCTTCCTTTGTTAAAGAGGAAAAATTGTTTTGTAACTGTTCTCGGCATTATTAGTAGCTCTCTGAGTATGCTTTAATTTAAAGATTTAAGTTGTTTGTTGTTACCTTTCTGTGGTTTGCCTTGGGTTTGCCAGTGTTGCTGCGAAGGGAGAAACTTAAAACTTGTATCTTAAAGAAACGTGGAAACTTAGATCTTTGCTACCTCGATTTAACTTTGCATTCTATTCTATTCATGAAAGAGTGATTTTTTTTTTTTTTTTGTAACTTTATTTGAATACAGGGCTGACCACACTATCTTAGGAGATGATCACACAGGAAGAAACCAGTTTAATTCCAGTTATGAAACTAATTGGACTCTTAATTTCCTTTCTAACTTTGTCTTCTTTCTCTCAATTTAATTTTTTAAGGTAGTCCTCAGACAGTTCATCAAGTTCACCTGAATCCAGGAAGTTCTGACAGTAATACTTATCAGAGTATTCAGCAGATGAGAAATGCAATGGAAAAAGAGATAAAGAGTGAGAGAACAAGAGGAAATGGTAGAGAGTTAGCATTTACCCTCATGCCATTGTATGCTCTTGGAGTGGGAGTGTTTGCAGCATACAAATTTCTTAAGGTAAGCCATAAGAAAAGCATTAAATTACTGAAATCAGAAGGAAATGTAACTGGTTTGTTTGGGGTTTGTTGGTTTGGTTTTTTTTTTCCCCCAATTCATATACCCATGTATATGGTAGTCCAAAAGCCATTTCTTGCTCGGTTTGACTTTGAATGTGAGTTCCAAAGTTAAAATTATAGCATATCTCATTCTTCCTTATGAAGGCTTCTGACTTCTCTTTTTTTTTTTTTTAGACACTTAAAGAAGTGAGAATCTCACATTCCCCTCCCCTTCCCTGCCGACCTCAAATAAGAATCTGAGAACCTAAACAGTGCTGTTACCTGAGGCTGTAACTTAAGTTCCATCAGCATTTCACTTCTTTTTCATTCTTCAGAATGAGATTGAGTATGGGAAGGAGATAGATGACTTCTGCAGACTAACAGTCTTAGTTTAGTGATTAGATAGAATAGCATGTAGTCTAGCCCTTTTATTTGAAGTTCTCACTTGGTCATGCAGCTGCAACATAGACTTTTATCCATGAAATACGATACCTTTTCTGCCATTAGTAAATGAAGAAAGGAGAACACGTTATCAGTTGTTTGTTTGGTTAGTTTTTTTAAGTATCAGTCTTGATATGTATTATTTATAGTAAGATGTATTACAGCACTTGCAATGATGAGAGTGCACCCAGAACATTATTGCCTGTCTTCAGGGAAAATAAAATTTGAACCTTAACAGGACCAGAAACAGCATCCTAATTTCCGTAGTCAGTTTCATATTATCTTCTATCTGAGAAGAATACAACTTGGCAAGAGGAACACAGAAGCTGACCAGTTTGGTTTTAAAAATAAATTTAATTAGGTTGTAAATAAGATTAAATAATAAAACCAATATTTTTTATGTTACAACTCTTTGCACTTGTGCTTGTGGGATAAAAATGTAAATGTTTTTATAATAGCATCTTTATTACTTTATGAAGTTTTACCTCCTAGTTAATGGCAGGAGACTGGATCCAGTAGCCTAGAGGGTTCCTTCTGTTCATTTTTGAAAACTGGAGTGGAAATAGCATCTGCTTTCTTTTACAACTTTTGTTAGTCCTTGTCATTGTTTAAAATCAGAAGTGTTAGTTTAGTATAGGAAGAAGACATGGCAGGAAAAAAGTTTCATTAATGGAGCATATTTTTGTGGTTGCTATTTAATTTCAGTAGATTTCTAAATGCATTTTTATTTTTAAAATACAAATATTGATGAAGTCTTTTAACACAATTGTATTTATTAAAGATGAAATCCCATGAAGAAAGTCTCTCCAAAAAGGAAAAAAGTACAGAAGACAAGGCAAAGGAAACAGGTAAGATACCCATTCAAAATGCATATGTTCACCAAAAAGAAGTATTTCCTGCTGGAACAAGCTACATATTTTCATTGATGCTGTCTAGCTAAATGAGAACAATCTTTTATGTTACTTACATGCAGTTAGGAACCTACAAAAAAACACTTTGTTATTCTGTGTATTTGAAACACTTGTTAGAAAACTCCAGATGGTAATATTATTTAAAACAGGTATAGTAGTGTAGTATGGTTCTCTAATTTCTGATGTCTGATGTTTTTCTCATTTGAGACTTGTTCAGTTTTCTTCAGTACAATAAGATGTTTAAATAGGATATGATACTCTTTAGAATTAAGAGGGTATTTAAAAAGGATGTAATGATCTGCTTTGGAATTGAACCATATTGATAGTGGGACAGTATGGATAAACAATGTTGAATTTCTGGGCCAAATTAGAGACCTGTCAAAAACATTAACTGTTTGTAGAGGAGACAGAATAAATTATACCATCTTTTTCTTCATGATACAGGGTACTCTTGACTGTCTGATTCAATCTGTTCTGCACATGCCAAGAACTGGGCTTTCCTTTGGAGAAAAAGTTATGGCACATCAAAGTTGAACTGTTCTCATACTTTTTTTGCCCCTTGTGTAGACACAGTTTTAGTTAATTAAACAACTAGCAGCCTCTTTTGGTATCTTTGTACACCAGTTCTATTCTTACCCCCACCACTCCCTTTTCATATTCTCAAATTTTATAAGGAATAAAAATCTTCCTGTTTTTGCATCTGCCCAACCAAAAATATAAATTAATATCCTTTTGATACTGTAAATAAATTTCTTACAATGTTGTCTCCTTCCCCTCCTCCTCCTTCTGCCTCCCTCTTTTTTTTTTTTTTTGCTTTTGTTTTTTGTTAGAGCATCAGCTTTTAGAATTGGAGCAGCATCTAGCACAGACAGAGAAAATGTTAAATTCTTTATTGACTCAATTGGATCCACTGTCAAACTGGTGAGTGTTTCTAAAACATCTTAGTTAGTATTGTTTTCTGTAAATTGAAATTCTCCCAAATGTTAACAAAAAGTTCTTAAAATGTTCCTTATATGTAGTTAGGGAACAGTGTTTAGGAACTTTCTTTAATTACTTATTGTTTCTATAGCCTTTTGTGGGTAATACTTCTTCTGCAATTTGCAGTCTTTTCCACAGACACCTTCCGTCTCTTCTTCACCAAACATAAATGCAAAAGCTCAGACTTACACATGTTACTGTGGCTTAACAAGTTAAACTTTAATGTTGACCAAGGAGACTAATACTGAAAAAAATACTTAAGCTCGGTAGCAATTGAAAGCCCTTGTGGGAATTAGATATCTGGTAGCAGAAAGAGTTTCTTCCTTTTGATATAATTAGAAGACCAAACTAGTTATCAAGGTATAGCTGCTTATTTTTGTGTTTTGAAATGAACCTGTTAAGTGATTGTGTGTGTTTCAGGGAAATAGAACTTCTCTGTTACAGTGGAACAAAGGAATAAGTAATATAATGTCCCTGTAGGTTTAGAAATGTTCTTCTCTTAAGAAGCTAGGGCCCTTCTGATCTACTGGAAATAAAAATGTTCATGCAGTCCATATTGTATAGACTGACATCCTTCACAAAGCCTACTTTAAAACATGCAGAATTTAATGATTGTTCCTGTAGTGTACTTATGAGCTTAATATGTGCTGAAACTATTAAGCAGCAAATTCACTGAGCAATTTGCCTAACAAATCTCTAGTAGTGATGGGGAGGAGAGAGAGTAGACAAAATCTAAAATAAATAAGAAAAGCCTCTAAATTGTAACTTTCTGTGTTAGGCATTGTTGCACTAAAAATTACTTTGGATAATTGTTTCTTTTAGTAGTCATTACTCAATCTTGGCCATTGGGACTCCAGTGCTAGAATTCAGTGACTAGATTATTCAGTGAGTGTACACGATGGACTCCCCACTTCTCAAGAGACAGTCCTCAAAGAAAAGCTTGATGTAGACATTGCTCACTTAACTGTGATCTTTATCCAAGGGAGGAAATACTGCAGTCTTGTTAATTATTATCAAGCACTCATGTCCAAGGTAATCTTTCAGCTGTTGACATTTGTCTTTTTTTCTAGCGTTAATGCTTTAGCTTCTGAGCAGAAAGATGAAATAATGACACAGCTCAAATCAATTAGACGACTGATGAAAGAAAGTGGATTGGATAAATCAGAACACAAGATGAAAGGTACTTTGTTTTTCAGTAGCCTAGGTAACTAAGTAGTTTGTATTTTAAAAGAATCAACAGATCTTACTATAATAATGTTCAACTCTTGCATCTTAGGTAATGTGTGTGGAATTAATTTCGTTTTGGAGGAGTACCATTCTTCCTGTTTGAGGTGTATCTAATTTTAATTTTTTAATAAATTATTTGTTTTGAGAATAGGTGCTAAGACATTGAACCAGGGTAGACCACACAGTCATGTTCTGCTTTGTTAAAACGGGCTTCTTGAATGTGGGTTCCTGAGCAGTCTGTTAGTATTGGACTAACTTTAGTCTGAGGATTCCCAGATGAGAACCTCTGAGGCTGTGGGTAATGCTTGCATAATACACTAAACAGCAAATTTTATATCAGTTTCAGCTGGAGACTTTCAAGAAGTGCATAGTAGTCCAAGAGAAATCTTAAATGTTAAGAATGTTTCACTAGAATTTTGGGAATTTTTGCATTAGTTGAGTCTGAATAAAAGAGAGAAAGCAAATGAAAAATATTCTAGTTCTAAACTGACCCTGAAATTTGGAGCTTTTCTAATAATTTAAACTTTCTTTTTGATTTTTTTTTTGTGAATTATAAGATGTCAACCACATTTGTAACGAGAAACTTGAAGATCTCATTCAGTCATTTGCTGAACATTCTCAAGAGAAAGAAATGGATGACAGAGAAGATGACAGTAATGAAGATTTACTTGAGTATGTTGATAATGATTACAAAATAGAAGAGCATGAATTATATGATGAGTGTGAAGTACATCAGTTTGAGCCAGATGTGGTAGAAGACCAAGAAATTATAAACAAAGATGCTATTGAATCAGAAGAGATAGGATTGAGGAGACGTAATAGATATGAATGAAATCTGCATGTGTAAAACTTTCAAAAGCTTCTGAATTATTTTTTTATAATGTTGTATGCACTTTAAACTGTTTTGAATGAAGTTATGTGCACTGCTATACGCTTTAAAAAGGGGGGTGAAATACTGCCTGGGCTTGAATCTGTGGTGGTTCTGTGACTGACTTCAGTGGTAGCAGAATTTCACTCAGGATGTTTACATACTTTTTTCTATTTATTTTTTTTCCTATAAAAATATTTCTGTACTCTGTATATAATGCACTGTAATTATATCTGGTGCTTCACTAAAATATTAGAGTATCTTGTAATTAAGTCTATAAAGCATAGATGTTTCATAAATGTTTTGTAACCAGTAAGCATGGTGGCACTTGAACTGTGACTTTTTTGAGTTCATTAAAGAGCATGCACTGATGAATTTAGCTCTTTGTGGAAAAAAATCCTCTAGGGAGGGAATGATAAGCAGTGTAAGTTAAGTCTTAGACATGCATTCGTAATCAAGTTTCTTTAATTGGAGAGAGAAATTTAGCCATAGACACTATTTTAAAATAATTGTATCTGAGTTTGCTGTCACCTCAGCAATGATGTGTAGTTTTGTATGTCAGTTTCAACCTTAATGCATTACATAGGATCACTTAATTTCTTCCCCACCTATCACTGGTTAAACTCAGCATCTGCTTACTCAATCATTGGTACCCATTAGTACTGTGCCATATTTATTTTAACACAATAGAATATGGCCTTTTGATTAATTGTAGTATGCTTTTTCTTGCATCAGTAGTAACAGATGTGTTGCTGTGTATCATTCAAGAACTGTGGGGCTCGGGGGTTTCTGTTTTTGAGTGTATTACGCCAACTTGATAGTGGCTTTTTTAGGTTAGTGTTAAGAAGAGCATTTTTTTCCTTTGCTAGAATAATTTTTTTCCATACCTTCATTTTCTACTTTTTGTTCACTTAAACACATACCTGTGGAACTGCCGCCCTTTAATGACAGGAATTACATTAGAGGTATGTCTGACAGTACAATGCTGTTAAATGTTCTGGTTTATAATTGCATAACTTTTAAGTAGGCTGGTTATAATGCCTGAACTCTTTTGCCATCTTTATCCTTACAGGAAAATAACACATGGATTTGTTTTTATGGAGGAAATGTACTTTAGTTAAAGGGATCAAAACTATTACTGTGTCACTCACTGAAAGGGACTGAATTGTTTGTTCTTGTCTAGAAATATGCTGTATCTTTGGTTCTAAAAGTGGATCGCGCAGGCCCGGAGGTACCAGCATCCAGAAACGGCCTTAGTGCCAGTGGATTGGTAGTTCTGCACTAAGTGAGATTTCGCCTAACTTTAGAAAACTGATTGACTGGGGCTTCTCAAGAGGTGACAGATTTTTCCCCAAAACAAAAGGGATGAATCAGGACTGGTACTTGGATAGTTTGATTTTTAAAAATAACTGATGTAGGTCTGGTCATTTAGGACAACTGGAACTGTTTAAAAAAAAATGGTGCGGGTCCGTGGCTTCCCTCTGAGATGACTAATAAGGCCAATTAAAGTGAACTGATCCGAGAGGATGAAGGAATGGGAACCACGCGTGCTGTGCTGCCGTGGTGGCCGCTGCCTGTGCCTCGGTCGCTGGCT